GAAATTTAAATTTCATGAGAGCTGTACAGAAAAAAAATTTGATTTTGTATACACTGTGTATACAAAATGACAATAAGAGTTGTCTATATTGTCTTGCTGATAAATCCAGAATAGAATTTAAAATCCTCCTTCTCACATATAAAGCCTTAAATGGCCAAGCTCCATCTGATATCAGAGATCTGATTGTTCCTGATGTTCCTAACAGAGCACTTCGCTCTCAATCTGCAGGTTTACTAGTGGTTCCTAGTCATGTGGGTGTGGTTACCATGGAAACACCAACAGCATCTTCTTCTGCAGGGTACATCAGTCTGTGAGCCGCCATCAACATCTGCTGATCCTGAAACAGAGCGGAGCTGCTGTCAGCTGCCTACATTTCCCAGCATGCAGTGGGTGACCTGCAGGACGGAGCGTTTATCTTATAGTCACTGGATTTCATCTCAGAAACGGGAATCAGAAAAATAAATAGTGATTTGATTTTTGTTTTAGAAAGTCAAAGTGTTTTTGTTTTCCATCGTCAAAAAGGGAAAATTTTAAAAATGATTGGATTTTATTTTCCATATAAGGAAACAAAAATGCTTTAGAACAGAAATGAATAAAGGTTGGTTTGTTGGATATTCTTAATGTTCTAATAAGCATCTAATCACCAATAGCTGCTCTATAGTTCAGTGCAGCGCCTCCAAACGCGTGGGTCATTCTACGACTCCTGCTTTGGGAAAATGAGCCTCAGATTTTTATAAATAATAATAAAATAATTAAATAATGTTCTAACATTAAGGGCTTTATATAAACTATCATCTCCCAGAAAGTAACTTTTAGAAGTTGGTGATAAAAATCCTCACATCTGCTCCATATCTGATTTGTATCCATGGAAACAATTGGCTGCAAATTTTGACTCAATTTTTTATTTTTACCAATTATGTATTTCTTAACAGGGATATCATTCATTAAAAATCTATGGAGTCTAAAAACATTTCTATGTGTTACCGTTGATTTCTTTCTTTTTTTGTTGTTTTTACGGCATTAGAGGCTCGTTTTTATGGACAGTAGGCTGACAGGGAAGGGGGGGGCATGCAGGAAAGGACCGCAGGTCAGAGTCGAACCCGGGTCGCCCGCGTCGAGGACTAAAGGCTGAATTTGAAACCAGGTCACCTGCGTAGGTGTCGCAGTGAACGCAAAGACGTCCCCGCCCCCTTCTGCAGACGCTCCGCTGCACCTCCACCACATGGCTGACCGCAGACGGGAGGCCGGATTGTTTTGTTTTTATGACTGAGGAAAACGACTCGTGAAGTTTGACCTGCTAGCAGAGCGAGAACGCTGGGACCCTTTTCCCACATGGATCCCCGCTCCTTTTCGCCCTTAATGTCCTTCTGTTGTCGGACAAACTCGCCCCAAGCAGCAGAGCGTCGCAGTGAGCTGATGCAGATATTTTTGATTTCTGCCCAATATTGAAGCGTGGTCTGCGCTGTTATTCCACGCCTCAACGCCAGAGGGCCAATCAGGAACTAGCTGTGGGTCTAGATACGGCCGAGGCGGTGAGGAAGGGGGGGGCAAGTCTGTGCGACAACGGAGGGCCATGAGGGCCAAATAGAGCGGGGATCCGGGTGGGAAAAGGGTCCCAGCGTTCTCACCTCGCTCTGCTAGCTGCTCCATCTTCACCAGTCGTTTTCCACAATGGCGGTCAGACAAACAGAACAAGTCGGTAAGGAACCAAACAGGAAATACGCATAGAGTAGAGTGGATGGAGATTGACCAATCAGAGGCCTCCTGTCTGCGCTCACCTACAATATAGGAGAAGTGCAGCAGAGTATCTGTGGAGGGGGCGGGGCATAACTGCGTTCACTGTGACACGCAGACCACCTGGTTTAAATAAATCAGCCTTTACCCCTCCCCTATTCACCCTGGAGCACNCCAGAACCAGCACAGAACCAGTCCAGAACCAGCTCAGAACCAGTCCAGAACCGGCTTAAAAGTGGTCCAGAACCAGTCCAGAAC